TTGAACTTATAATATTTGCAGTTCTTGCTATATAATTCAGAGAACTGTTAAAACTAGCAACATCGTCAAAGGGCAGACATGGGAATTTTTTGATAAGCTATACCCCGAAATAACAATATTTGTTTTTGCCCTTTAATTTCCCTTTTGGGATTATAGACCAGATTTTGGGGAAAGGACCAGGGGATGGAAAAGTAGAAGGGGACCGCAACCAAAAGTTTTCAACTTTAAGAGTAGGTATTATGTTTGTTCCATATTATTCAGAAAGAAACTTTTCATTAAAAACTATTACTACTACAATTTGAAAGGTTATATAATAATCCTAGTCTTTTCAAAAATTATATATAAGATTTGGAGTATCAATTTTTCCACTTATCATTGGTTTCTTAGTCTTTTCGAAATAAACTTTAACTAACTGAAACTAGAAAAAAAAATTACTTCCGCTACAGTATATATCATAAAATTTTATAATTAAAAATATTTGAAAATGTATGAAAAAATAATATTGTAAAAGAAAAATTGTTTGACTTCTCAAAAAACAATAGTCATATAAAGTGGAACGTAAAGAGTAACTCTTTTTGGTTATGATTTGTAAATTTGAAAATATATCTAGTTATAAAAAAATTATATGATTCACAATTCCTACTTTCCCCATAATCTAAAAAGTGTAATATTATAAAACAATTAATGTCTTAAATATGAAAGATATAAATATCTAGTAGCACTCTTCTCAAAAGAAAAAATGTTGACACTTGTACATCAAATATCATCATCTATTCATGGAGAGAGAGAAAGTATATCTCAAAGTACCATAAGAAGTTGGTCATATCGATATAATTCTTCCGCTCTTAATTTGATCATATTACGGTCGAATTTAGAAAATTTAAAAACCTTTAGTAGTTATGACTCCTTCATTAATAGTCATTTGCAACCGAATCTAAATTAGTCGGACTAGAGTGCACCGAAAACTTTACTATATGGTTATAACTTATAAAGGAAAAAGTATTAACTCAATGCAAGACAATCTAACAAAAGAGTCTCATTCAAATTCAGAGAGCATAGACATGGACATTTGGATAGAGAAATTGGATCAAAATTTCAGACTAATTCTCATCCTCAACAGAAGAGGGACCCTTTGAAATCCCTTTGATTACAACTTCATCCAATCAGAAACAAGAATCAAGGATCAACTTTCATAACATGGCCAATAGAAAAAAAGATAAGGCCTCATATGTGGACCCAAAAGTAAAGTCTCCCATTCCCTGTAGAAAACTCCCAAAAAAACCTCAAAATAAAAAGAGCTTTAATTTGCTGTAAAAGTACATTTGTGGGTCAATTCCTCTTTTCCTCAAATAATTGCACTTTCGCTTTTCAACAGTAATACATAAAGATCTAACTCAACATATCTCCTCAGTTTTCCTCTTTCAATGAACCGAAATTCCAAAGACTAAAAAAACACATACACTTTTCTTGATATTTCTAGCTATATTTATATTTTACAACGTTTATTTTATCTATGGTTTCGGACAGAAAATTGGCAAGTGCAATGGGTGGAAAAACAACAAGAGCTTGTGACAATTGTATTAGGAAAAGGGCACGTTGGTATTGTCCAGCCGATGATGCATTTTTATGTCAAAATTGTGATTCTTCTGTTCATTCAGCTAATCCTTTAGCTCGTAGACATGAAAGAGTTCGTCTTAAAACATCACCACTCAAAGAATCTTCACCAGACGAAAACTTTCCCAATTTGGAAAGTCCAGTCTCAGTTTCACTCCCATCGTGGCATCGTGGATTTACTCGAAAGGCTCGAACTCCTAGGAATGGGAGAAAGGTTAGTAAATCTACCGAGGAGGAGGAGGAGGAAGAAGTTATACTTAAGAACCCTATTCATCTTGTTCCTGAGATATTAAGCGATGAAAATTCGCTTGATGAGAACGAGGAGCAACTTTTATATCGAGTACCTATATTCGATCCATTTGTAGCTGAGCTCTGCACGTCTGCCACCAGAAATGATCAGATTGAGAACGTGCAAACAGCAACAGAGACAGATCCAGAATTTAAACTTGAATCTAAGGAGATGCAGAAGCATGATATTTGTAACGACGATTTAAATAGGTTTCATGGGATGTTACCATCTGAAATGGAGCTAGCAGAATTTGCAGCTGATGTTGAAAGTTTACTAGGGAAAGGACTTGAAGATGAGTCATTTGATATGGAAGGGTTAGGTCTTTTAGGGGGTTGTAATAAGGAGGAAAATTCAATGGAATGTTCTATGGTTAGTAATGAGAAAGTAAAAATTGAAGATGAAGTTGTTATGGATACAACTACTACTAGCCATGACATTGATATTAATGGTGACACCTTTGAGTTCAAATTCGATTACGATTCGCCGATAAATATTAATGGAGAAGATGAAGTTGGAGAAGTAGTTATGAAGATTAATGGTGAAGATGGTGTTGTTGGTGATGGAAATTACAATGAGAAAAAGAAGATTTTATTGAATCTTGATTATGAAAGTGTATTAACAGCATGGGCTGATCAAAGGTCTCCTTGGACTAATGGTGAAAGGCCAGAATTGGATTCCAATGACTGTTGGCCAGATTGCATGGTATGTTCTTAATTTCTTTTTTTTTTCTGAGATTATAAGTTTGGTCTAATGGAATTGATTGGCTGAAAAAAGTATAGTCCATTGTTTGTTGATTGCATAATATTGAAAATCAAGTGTCTTTTGATTTCTTATTTCTAGATTAAAAAATGCAATAAACTAGGGCGTGTCACTGTTCCTAATAGCTTTTTCACTGTCACTCACTGTATACAAATTAAAACTGTTCTTTTTACGTTTAGTTCGGGAAAAAATAGAATAGATTGGCTACCTTTCGACTGTTAATGAAGAATTTTTTGTTGTACAATGTGCGTATATAATATTAGGTATTTGAACAAAAATATTTTAGGCATTCTCTTCATTTCAAGTTGGAAGTTGAGATTTTGAAATTTTGGAGCAAAGTAATAAATTAACAAAATAAACCATTGTTTTGTCAAAAACAGAATGATATCCATGTTTTCTTCTTTTAGTTACCAGCACGAGTGTGTAATGTGTTCTTTTATTAAACACTATGAAGGAGAAATATTCATGCAAAATTTGTAGGAGTATCTCAATTTCCACTTCTTTTCTCCAACTAAATAAAGATTTAACTTATGTACACTAATAATGTAAAAATAAATTAACAGTATAATTTAACATGTTATATCATGTTCAGGTAACTAATTCCACTTATTATGATAAGTTACCTCTAATTAGTACTATTATTTAGGAGACCCTAATAATGGAATAACGTTCTTTTATATTGGTAGTGTATAGAAGTTAAACTTAAACAATAATAGTATGAATTAGTGGTTAATTAATAAGTTTGGGTATTTTTTACAGGGAAATTGTGGAACAATTCATCCATATGGAATAATGAACGGACATACAACAATGATAGACAGAGGAAGAGAAGCAAGAGTATCAAGGTACAGGGAGAAGCGGCGAACGAGGTTGTTTTCTAAGACAATAAGGTACGAGGTTAGAAAACTGAATGCTGAGAAAAGGCCTAGGATGAAAGGAAGGTTTGTTAAAAGATCCAATTTAGTCCCTAATTACCCTTTGCTTAAATAATTAGTGTTAATTTAATTTTTTACCGCCAAGTTTACGTACTAATTGTAGTACAAGTAAACTTGGAGAGCTTTAGTAGTATGTATGTATATAGAGTAATAAATAGCTATGCTATAACAGTTTTGTCATTTTGAATTAGGACTTTTTGGATGTAACATACTCTCCAAAGTGTTCTTACTTTTTGACAGGAGAAGAATAAAAATTCTAGAAATTGAAATTGTTCTTGTCTTATAATTTTCAACTTTTGAATTTCGCTATGAAACTATTAAATTATCTCTTTAGATGTATACTGAAATGCCCATTGAGTTTTTTAGCAGTAAATTGACAAAGTGATCTCTAATACTTTTGCATTTGTACGATTTTATGTTTAAGTGTTCATTTTATTCCGATGAGATCTTAAATATTTGAACATACTTTTAAATAATCACACCAAGAAAATCGTACAACGTTCGTCACCTTTTCTCTAGAATTCAAAACATTACACTCATATGTGTTGCAAGTTTCTCTGATATAAATCTGATTAGGTTAGAAAACAATGTAAAGGAATGGTAAAAATTGAGAACTGAATTTATACAAATTACTACGACAGGGCGTTTAGACAATCATAACTCTTTAAGTGCAGTTAACATAAAAAGTGACTTTTATCTAAATATTGAGTTAAATGAGAAGATGAAAACCAAGAGATTGAAGTTGACCAGTAGAATGATTATTAAAAGTGGACCTGTTTTTAAATATGGATCTTGGCCTTTTCTCACTCTTGGCCTTTTCTCACAGGTCTACGTGGTTGACGTGCTTAGTGGACCCATTAATTTTTTATGTGATTCTGTACGTGTAAGTAGGATTGTACGTGAGGCGATTTGGTTCGATTTTTTATTAAACCAAAATCAAATTAATTATGTCGGTTTATTAAATTTATAATTAAATCAAATCAATATAAACTCGGTTTTTTTCGGTTTCGGTTATTGTCGATTTTTTCGATTTCCTCGGTTTTTTGGTTTATTTTCGATTTTCCTTTTTAGTTATATTATGCTTGAAAAGAGAGAACAAATAATTACCATTCACCAATTGTCCGCATGATTACTATTCATTAAAATAATATATGAGGAAGAGCAATTGTTCGTATGAATCATAATTCCAAGACCTTCCATAATAGAAAATGACAACAAATATGTGATTAACCAAAAGCTACAATCCAACTTGTAGTTCCACAAAAAATATTAAGTTAATTAAAGTTGGCCTAAGCAGCAAGCAGCAAGCAGCCAAGCACCATGAATAGGTTGACACTATTTAGTTTAACTGAAATTCTGAATTAATCAATATTCAAAGGGTCACCTGGACATTCTGAGAGAAAAAAATAGTTACATGTTAAACAATATAAAGATAGAATTAAATTCATTACAAATTAAATATATAAAATTACCTTCTTCAACTTGCTCAATCTTTTTAATTTCTTCTAGATAGTCTTAAAGGTTGTATTCCTTAGGTGACTTTATCCATTGTTGAGTGCAAATAAGAGCTTCTACCGTCTTTGGTGATAAAGAACTTCGGTAAGAATCGAGAATTCGACCGTCGGTACTAAAAGCTGACTCAGATACAACAGTAGAAATAGGAATTGAAAGAACATCCCTTGCCATTTTTTAAAAGAATTGGATATTTACTAGATGAAGCTTTCCACCAAGCCAAGATATTTAAATCCTTGGTCTTCTCCACATTATCCGTCAAGTATTTCTCAAGCTCAGATTTTTTCTCAACATCTCCCTCATCTTCCAAATGTTTCGCCCAGCGAGATAGCAAAATATCACCAACTTCACTCACTATACTAGTTTCACCTCTAGAATTGTCATTAGAAGATTCAGAGAAAGAATTATTGTAATGATCATATAAACGAGTCAAAGCACCTGTCACCTGATCTGATTTCAATTTTCCCACCAAAGGATTATATGATATACTAAGAATGAAGTTCACATACTTCATCTTATATCTGGGATCCAATACAACAACAATGAACAATAACATGTTCAAATTCTCAAACTTACCCTCAGTATTTATCAAACTTTCCTTTCATCCTGTTAGCCATATCAATCAAAATAAGATCTCCACTATAAGAATACTTTATAATAGCATTTCGAACATTAAAAAATTAATGGAAGAATGCATTCGAAGTAACATATAAGCTTCTTGAAAATTTTAAAGTGGTCTGGTAAAAAATATTAAGGAACATGATAAAAGCTTTCACAATCTTCCAATCATCACCAGATAGATGTCCTTTTGTTACCTCTCGAAAATACTTTTGGTACGTATGGTCATCCACGTACATTCTTGTAAAAGCCTTTTCAAATTTTACAGATGTATCTAACATTGTATATGTAGAGTTCCACCTAGTCTCAACATCAAGACTCAAAAGACCATGATTGTCTATCTTAACTTTCTCAATATGCGACTTGAAAGAAGCAAACCTTGAAGATGAAGACTTGACATATTTTACCGCATTTCTAATACAATAAATGGGCTCAATTTGTTCATCTAATCCATCTTTTACAATCAAGTTCAAAATATGTGCATTACATCTAACATGTAAAAACTCATTTCCCAATATTACTCCTTTCTAGTCATCAATACGTGCCTTCAAATGCTTAATAGTAGCATCATTCACACTTGCATTATCTAGCGTCACTGTAAACAAGTTCTCAATACTCCACTCTAACATACAAGCTTCAATACCCTTAGCAATAGTCTCTCCCTTATGATCTGGTGTTTGGAAAAAGTTAAGTATCTTCTTTTGTATATTCCATTCATCATCAATCCAATGGGCAGTGACAACCATATAAGTAAAGTTTTGGAGTGATGATTATGTATCACTAGTAAGATATACATGTTGGTTCTTGATAAGTTTTTTCAGTTTTTCTTTCTCCTCTTGATAAATCTTCAAACAATCTCTAGCCACAGTTACACGAGAAGGTAATTCAAAATTAGGCAAAGCCTTAGCCATTAACTTTTTAAATCCTTCTTCCTCAACAACTTTAAATGACTGCTCGTCAATAATAACAAATCCGGCAATTGCCCTCCTAATATCCTCCACATTATACACCACCCTTTCAATAGAACTTTTACCAGTTTCTTGTCCCCCTTCTTGGATAGGTATAAATTTCAATGTAGATTGCTTCTTATCAACAAATCTAAAGGGAGATTTAAGACACATCAAATTTAAATGATTCCACAAAGTAGAAGTTTCATTAGTCTTGGTCTCGGAAGCAAAGTATTTTACACAATAATTGTATTTTGCTCTACGTTTGCCTCCTTTATCAATAAATTTTATAAAGTGATTCCAAATCTGAGATGTTTCTCTTCCAGTATTACCAGGCTTAGAATCGGGATCTGAAGAATTTGTCCTTTTTTGCTTTTTAGGAGGAGTGCATGTATGGGGAGTGCTTTTACCTTTCTTTTGAGGTGCCACTGGCACAATCAGAGAATCGTTGACCATCATCTTCACATCTATTCCAGTGGTAGTTTCCATCTAGAAAGAGAGTCTCTACACATAATAAAATATTCAAATTACTTACTGAAATTTAAAGAAAAAATAATGAGAAAAAAGATAAGTTCGGAAGCTTTTCAAATTCAGGTTACTTCTTAGAGAACCTTTAACATTAAGCAGTGATTTTATTACAAATGTAAGTGCAATATTGGAGTAAAAGAACACAACTCGTAATATCAAATTTCAGGACCAACAATCTAAGATAACAATTATACCCAAATTTAAAGGGACAAAATAACATAATTAGTTTAATCAAATACTTTAGCTTACCAAATTGTATTGGAGTAGTAAGACTAATATATAATTACAAAGTTGAACAGTGGCTTGAAATTGCAAAGAAGGAAGCTCAACGTGAAGTGGATGGAAGGATTTTCACTATTTGGGGTTCTTTGACTTTGGAGTTGGAAGATAGGAAAGATATGGAAGAATGAAGAGTGAAGACAAGGAATAACCTATTTTATTGTCTTTTCTTATTGGGTTTTAGTTTGGGCTTCAAATTTGGGTTGTGTAGTTAGAANTATTTTAAGTTCAAGTAAGTCAGCAGGCACCCACCTGGAGAATGAGGGAATTCATTTCAGTTTTAAGTCAGCAAGCGCCCACCTGGAAAATGAGGGAATTTATTTCAAGTTTTTAAGTCACAAGGTGCCCACCTGGAGAACGATGGAATTAATTTCAAGTTTTAAGTCAGCAGACGCCCACCTGGAAAACGAGGAAATTTATTTTAAGTTTTTAAGTCATCAGGCGCCCACCTGGAGAACGAGGGAATTCATTTCAGTTTTAAGTAATCAGGCGCCCACCTGGAGAATGAGGGAAGTCATTTCAAGTGTAAGTCGTCAGGCGCCCACCTGGAGAACGAGGGAATTCATTTTAAGTTCAAGTCAGTCATCAGGCGCCCACCTAGAGAACGAGGGAATTCATTTCAGTTTTAAGTCATCAGGCGCCCACCTGGAGAATGAGGGAATTCATTTCAAGTGTAAGTTGTCAGGCGCCCACCTGGAGAATGAGGGAATTTATTTCGAGTTTTAAATCATCAGGCGCCCACCTGGAGAACGAGGGAAGCCATTTGAGGATTCAATTCAAGTTAGAAGTAGCAGAAGCTCGCCTCAAGAATGCGAGCTGACAGTCCGAGATGACCAAAGAAAGAAGTCTCAATCCAGAATAAAAAGAAAAAAAAGAATTGAATCCAAAATGCAGAAGTAGATGAAAAGATATGGGCTGCTCAAGACATGATTGAAGTCACAAGCTTTGCATGTCCCATCTTGATCCGAAAAGCTGAAGAAGAAAGAACTACCACCTGCAGCTAGCAAACATCGAGGTTTAGATCAGAGTCTGCATGAAGAACCAGTCAAAACTCAAGATCAAACTTCAAAAGACTCATAGATAGGAATCTTGTAACTCGTAGCTAATAGGCTTAGTTAGTCTTTTTTATTTTGACTTTGGTGTAATAAGGAGCTCAGCAAACAGTAAACAGCAGCATCAACAGTGAAATCACAGCTTCTCGGTAGTCCCAGCTACCAAAACTTTCAGAACTACACTGACCTAATTCCTCCATAGCCGAGGATATGTAGGCAACCTCGGAAGCAAGGTTCGGTCAAACGTTTTTTTTTTAAGATGCTTCCCATGGAATATCTAAACGGGGAAAAAGGGGCGGCTGTGAGCACGTGATTTTTGCCCAACTAAAATATTCCTATAGAAATTCACAAATAGATTTTTTCTTAATTGTTTTTAGTTTTATAGAANGAAGTGTCAGTGAATATCAAATCTTTCTACTAATGAAAGTGACTTATCAGTTGCCACCGAAAAAAAAGAAAAGGATAATTCTGTTAGACCGCTCTCAGTTCCAATAATTCTGTTGAAATTGTTTTTTTCTGCCTCAGAACAATCTGGTAAATGGTGAATGATTGATGAGTAACTCAAATGCACAAACACTTTTTACATCAGACTGACTCTTCAAAGGTCAGTTCTATTATTATCAATAGCAGTACACATCAAGGGGACCGGCATTCCCCTTTTGAAATTTTTGGCGCATGACTATGACTACAATGTCTTATAGGGTGGAGCAAGAACGAGTTCGGTCGAATCTAATAGCTTTATTCTGAATTTTGTATTTATTTTTGTTTATCCTTAAAAATAGATAACAATCGAATTTATACGCGGTATTAAGGATATGTGGACTAATTCAATACAAGTGATTAATGACGTTAGATAAGCAAATTAAAGACAGAATAAACAGCCAAACCAGTAGCAATGTTGGATCCGGGATCAGTTATAAGCTTAACAAGTAACCTGCTTTCGGTTCAGAGCCAAACACTTATGAAGAACTATGAGTAAAATCAAGAATTTTAAATAACCTTTAGAACCATAGAAAACAAATATATATTGCCTTGATATGCGTGTTACATTGTCCTTGATGAATAATAAGCTTCCCCTTTATATAGTAGGGGAGTTTTACCCTAAGTACAATTCTAAGAAAGGTAAAAATCTTCCTTTTCGCTAATCACTGATCAACCGCCGATACGGGCCAAGATTCACGTCGTGATATCCGGTTGGACACAGATATCACGACCCTTTGTTAATCGTGCGCGGTCGTTTGGTAATGCTCTCCGAGGTCTTGGAACTCGAACCGGACCCTGGGGGCATAGTCTCGATGGCTCCGAGGGCAGGTGTTTTGCTTGGGCCGTGATGCGAGAGGCTCCTGGCTTCGATTTCGATTCCTTGCGGTCATGTCCTTGCTTCGTTTGTCTCACCGGGAAATCGGGGTACTCATTAGCCTATATTTTATCCATATAGAGATAGTCCCCTCGTTTTTCAGAGAGTAGGTTTACCGAAATGATGGGAAACAATAGAAGTTCTCCGGTTCCTTCCTATGTACGTTAAAACGAAGGAGCCGAAGCGTCCCATCAGTCGTGTCGTTCTGACGTCGGACACGTGTCAATCATCGGCTGGTTGCCTCCGAAATGCGAAGCGTCGCCTACTTTCCTATAAAAGTTTCGATCCTTTGTTCTTTTTCTACTTTTCGACAAAGCTTTTACCTTCGATCTTCCCAACTATCATCAACTTCTTTCAAACCTTCATACCTTTATACCTTCATCTTTTGATCTTGAAATTTTCATAATTATTCTTAGATTCTTGCCGAGATCTTCTTAAATTCTCCATATCCCGTTGTTCAGCCTTCAAACTTGTTCTTCCAAATCAGTTCCCCAACAGGCTGCCTCTTCATCTTCCCAACTGGCCGCTGGTACTGAGGCAGTCGATCCCGAAATAGTTATCCTCGAGGCGATTGCTCCCGACGTAGCTGCCACCGAGTCGGCAGCCGCCGAACCGGCTCCCGAGCCCCCTTTGAAAGTGTTTATTCCCGGGGGTTGTTCTATTACGGATGACTTCAGGGTTGAGAAACCCTGTTCAAGATTAATTCAAGCCATTTTTAGTCAATAAAAGCGATTGTGCTAGAACCATGGGACTGGGGAAGTGCCTTACACCTTCTCCCCGGTCAACAAAATTCTTTATCCGAACTTTATTTTCGCAGACCAAATAATAAAAGAGTCAAATCTTCTTTTGAATATGGATTCTAATAAAAGGTGACTTGGAACTGTGAGCACGTGATTTTTGCCCGACTAAAATATTCCTATAGAAATTTACATATAGATTTTTCTTAATTGTTTTTAGTTTTATAGAATTTGTAGGAATTTTGGTTAAAAGTTGCTTGCATTTAGTTGCATATTTAACATTCTAAAATCATAAGAAAAATACCAAAATGTCTAAAGTATTTTGTGCATAACATTTTAGGTTTAGGTCTATTTGCATTTAGGATTTAATTGCATGAGATAATTGCATTATTAAACGAAAATCAATATATATATATATATATATATATATATATATATATATATGAGAGTCATTTTTATATTCTTAGCTTTAAATTGCAAATTAATAATTCTTTCATCATTAGTCTAAATTAATTAATTATGGTAAAATAGATAACTAGGTTTATTTCTACAAATTAGATNTCATTTTTATATTTTTAGCTTTAAATTGTAAATTAGTAATTCTTCCTTCATTAGTCTAAATTAATTAATTATGATAAAATAGATAACTAGGTTTATTTTTATAAATTAGATTGATTTAAGACTTAATTTAGGTTTTAATTAATTTTTAAGAATTTAAAATCAAGAAGAAGAAAAGAAAAGAAAAAATTCTGTTTTTGGTCTCAAATTTGGGCCAAAACAATTTTGGCCCAAACAATCGCCCCAAGTCCGCCAAGCCCAACCTCCTCACCCGGTCCAGTCGCGCGACTAAAAGCGAACGACGTCGTTTTGGCTGAATTAATCTCGACCCTTCAATCCATCTTCATCCAACGGACGCTGTCCACTCTCACGCCCATATAAAAGGACCCTTATAACACCTCCTTCCCCGAAACCCTAAACCTAATTCCCATCCCAAACGGCGCCCCCTCCTTTCTTCCTCCGCTCAACTCGCCCGGACTCGCTTGAACTCAAGCGAGTTCACCCCCCTCCCCCCCTCCAACTCACGCACGTGATTCCTTCACCCTCCCTCCTCCACATCACCCGTCTCGTAACGACCTCTGACAGAAAAGATTCTTTTTTTCCTTAGGCTTCACGCGCTCTTGGTATTGAGGGATTCAAGATCCTAGACCTCCATTTATCCGATTTGGTTCACAAGAAAGGGAATCGGATTCTCGCGGATTTTTCGGACGGAAAGAGGAATTTTGGGGCATGACTTGAAGAAAGAAAAAAGGTATGAAAATTTCTGGTATATATAGGGATGTTAAGAGATTTCTGGAGAGGTTTTTTGGGGAACAAAAATTTTAGAGAGAAAAATCGGAAAGAAAAGCTAGGGTTCTAAAAACGTTCTTTTTCTTCTCAGTGGTTGATCTTCTTTTTGATTTTTTTTGGTTTAGTTTCAGAACCAAAAAAAAAAAAACATGTTCAGTCTTCTTCTTTTCCATTTTATTTCAATTACTGTCTAAAAATTCGAAAAAAATATATTTCGTCCCTTCTTTTTCAATCTGGATTTTGAGTTGAAAACTGGAGTTCGATTGGAAAGTTGTTGAGTTCGCTGCTGCTCGAGAAGGTTTTGCTGAAGTTCTTGTTTGGACGTCATTTTCATCATTATAATTCTGCTTACCACGATAATCTATTGAAGTTGTTGTTCATTTAATAGGTCACATTTTAAACTCTATTCTTCTTCCGTACTGCAGATTCTGTGTCATGAATATTGGTATTATTTTCTTAATTTCTCTTATTTCTATATCTTGGCGTATATGACGATGTTTTGAATATTTTTGAACTTTGAATGGATGAGTTTATTTTCAACAGTCATGCCGTAGATTTTGATTTCTCTTATCGACATGTTTATGTTGTTCATTTAACTGGAAAAATCCAAATGAAGTCCTGAAAATCACAAAAGCTCGAAAACCAAAAGAAAACTGAGATTTCGGAGAGGATTTGGGGAGTAATTGATTGCTGAATTTTTGAACTCTTCCCTGGATCTATAAAAGGCTGTTGAATCTCAAATTTATGGCTGTTTGTTGTAGTTCTGTACTGGAAATTATTCCTTTTGCTTTGTTTGGCTAAGAGCTGAGCTCCTAATTCTAGTTACTGCTTCTCCTTCAAAGTTAGAGATTCATTTCTCCCATTTGTTTGTTGTGGCCAGGTATCATTTTTAACCGAATGATATAAACCTTTGATTTATTTGAATGAGAATAATGCAAACCTGTTCATACTTTGTGTTGTTTCAAATCTACCAAATTGGTTAATATTCACCATGCTACCTCTTGTTTGGTTACTGTATTGAAACATAGTTGAATTGCAATTCAAGTTTACTACACTTGTTATGTCAGAAAAAATGATTTTAAAATCTGTTTGTTTTTCCATTGAGTAATGTGGTTTCAGAAGATGAGAATTGGGCGAAAACAGGTGGAGAATTGATCTGGACACCAATTGGATTGATTTCTTATAGTATGAACCGGTAACTCAAGTGTTTTATGAGTTTGATTCCGGTAGCCTGATTTCGTGTTGTTAGACTTGGGTTATTAATTAAGATGGTGTATGTTTATATTCCGTTTTAGAGGTTTTCTNTTTTGTGTTATTTCAAATCTGCCAAATTGGTTGATATTCACCATGCTACCTCTTGTTTGGTTACTGTATTGAAACATAGTTGAATTGCAATTCAAGTTTACTACACTTGTTATGTCAGAAAAAATGATTTTAAAATCTGTTTGTTTTTCCATTGAGTAATGTGGTTTCAGAAGATGAGAATTGGGCGAAAACAGGTGGAGAATTGATCTGGACACCAATTGGATTGATTTCTTATAGTATGAACCGGTAACTCAANTCGGTAGCTCAAGTGTTTTATGAGTTTGATTCCGGTAGCCTGATTTCGTGTTGTTAAACTTTGGTTATTAATTAAGATGGTGTATGTTTATATTCCATTTTTAAAGGTTTTCTCTTGTGTTAGCTGATGTTGATTGAGAAATTACTCCAACAAATGTGCAATAGTCATCTTTAATTAGTAAAAAAGGCATTTGATCCTTTTCTGGATGGAAACTGTAGCTAATGTCAAATTGTGAAACAAATGAAGAGATGCTGTCTGTGAATTTTTATGGACTCGTCTGTATGAGCCAGCAATTTTAACTTGAACTTTACATGCTCTTGCCTACCAAAAGTAAAAATTCCTTGTAATCCCANCTTTCTGTGGCTTTTATGGACTCGCCTGTATGAGCCAGCAATTTTAACTTGAACTTTACATGCTATTGTCTACCAAAAGTAAAAATTCCTTATAATCCCAGACTCTAAGAAATAGCAATTGATGAACATCGTAGTTTGCTTTAGGTGCGATTAAATAAATTATCGTGACTATGGGTACGGTTCTCGTGGCATAGTTATGATACGCAACCCCAATTCAAGCGTGCGTTTCACGTGACTCGACCACAACTTCAAATAATAATAAAATAAGCATGTTGTAAATCGCGGGTGCATTTCATGTGGCGCGATTTGCGATATGTGTCAAAACGACAAGTGTACGACATCGTGACTTGTTTCAAATAAATTTCATAAATATTAAAAGCGGTCAGAAAGCTAAAAAGCACAATAGATTTTAAATAAGATAATTAGGCCAATTATTAATAGTTGAGCGACCGTGTTAAAACCACGGAACTCGGGAGCGCCTCACACCTTCTCCCGGATTAACAGAATTCCTTACCCGATTTTCTGTGTTCGCGGACCATAAATAGAGTCAAATTTCCTCGATTTGGGATTTAAAATAAACCGGTGACTTGGGACACCATAAATTATCCCAAGTGGCGACTCTGAAATAAATAAATAATCCCATTTCGATTAATGTCATTTAAATTAGAAAAACTCCCATCTCCCCGTTCGGGAAAAAGGAGGTGTGACGGCTCTGGCGACTCTGCTGGGGATCGAACCCAGAATCTCTGGTTCAGGGTTCAGAATTTGAGCTTAGATGATTGTTATACTTGGCTTTTACTTATTATCTAATTTTTTGTTTTATGTGTTTGAGCCTAATATGCTAAATGCTTATTTTTACTGCTTTGATATTGTTTGGACTGTATATAAACTGTCACGAAACCATTCTCCTCTCTGAGTCTTCTAAATCTTCTGGGAAGTGCACGCTGGCTTGACTTCTTTTCTGTTAGTGTCATATCCTAATTTAGAACGAGGATCAGATCAGTTACAAAGCCGGATGGCCTTTTGGTTACCAGTACGTTGTCCCCCCCTCCCCCGGCTCGAGTTGTCCGCTCGGGTAAGCCAGGTCTAGAACCATACACCTAGGGTTTTAAACCTAGAATAACATAGCCTCATGCTGGATCCCTAGTAGGTACGTTTGTTTGCATCACGTGCATTTGACTTTGAAGACTCAACACAGGGGTTGGGTCTGTCTAGGACAGGTGTACCCAATTTAAAAGACCATTCTGATGCATTTCTACATGCTACTTGTGTATTTATCGGTTTCGGCTTGTATGTTGACCGGCTTTTAGAATAGGAAAAGAAAATCAAGCAAAATCAAGAAGTGAGGTAGGATAGAGAAACATCCGAAAAATACCAGTGTTCAAAATATCTTGAAACTCTGCCGAATTTTTTTAAAAAAAAAAAGAGAAAAGAAAAGGATGAGTCTTTGAAAATATAAGTCCTATTTTTTCACGAGTCAAAACTCACCGAACTACGCGGGTCTGATTTTCACCGGATGTGAGATACGTAGGCAAACCTCATCTGATTTTCCTTTATTTTCTTGTTTAGAAAGTCTTTCTTTGAGACCCCATTTTTAAAAATCCAAAAATATTTTCTTTAATTCCTTCTTTTAGGAGTCTTATTTTTTTAGAAAATCCCAAACAAATAAAAGATTAAAAAATAATATTTTATTTGTAGGAGTCTTTCATTAGAAAAAGAAAACAAATGAAATTAAAATCCAAAAAAATATTTTTCTACCTTTTTTAGAAAGTCTTTCTCCCAAAAAATCCAAAACAAAAAGAGACAAAAACATCGAAAATCAAAAAATATTTTTCTTTCTTATATAGAAGTCCTATCGGAAAAAAATTAGAAGAAAAATAATCAAATTCCAAAAATATTTTCTTTTTTTTTATATGTCTTTCTTTTAAAAAAAAAATAAAATTTGACCACTTAGCAAACACAGCCCTAAAATCTTCTCCTCTAAAGTGTTGAAAGGCCGTATTTGCAAAAGTGGCCGTGATTTGTTTTCGGTTGTATTTTGCAAAAAAAAAAATTATAATCTTTTCATGGTCAGTTTTGTACAAAATTTTAATCTGGTCACCCTAATTTAAAATGTGCAGAATGAGCACCGTTCAGAATTTACCTGTGAAGGTTATGGATCAGATTCCACTGGCACTCCACATGTGGTGGGAGGATTTGGGAAAACAAGGACGAGACATGGTCAACCAATACCTAGGGGCGCTCACTGGACTATTGAAAATTCAACCTAGAAGGGACCTGATAGAGGCATTAGTGGCATTCTGGGACCCCGCTCATAATGTTTTACACTTCTCAGATTTTGAGCTTACGCCCACTTTGGAAGAAATGGCGGGTTATACTGGGAGCACGGAAGGACTGAGACACAAGTACCTGGTATCTCCAAGGACTGTTACTCCCCACAAGTTTCTGGACTTACTAAAGATAAGCAGACAAATCAAGACGGGAAGTCTAGCAGGGGGAACTTCCACTTTTCATTTTCTATATCAGCGATACGGGCATCTAGGGGGATTCGAAGACCCTGAAAATGGACTCTGCAGTAAAGGAAACCGATCAAAATGGGAGACCCATAGATGTTTTGCCTTCATGGTGGCATTTTTAGGACTTTTGGTGTTTCCAAGGGAGGACGGGCACATTGATTTGCGGATAGCCGGGGTTGTCCACGTTCTGACTACTCAGGCCAAGAGTACTCTCGCACCCATGATCGTATCAGATATATTCCGAGCCCTCACGTTCTGTAAGGCCGGAGTCAGTTTTTTCGAGGGATGCAACCTGTTGTTGCAAGTATGGATGATCGAACACCTCTGTCATCGTCCTCGATACATGAACTATGGGTCTACGGGAAAAAACTGCATTGAAGAGTTTAGTGCACGAGTAACAGGATTCGAGATGCCGAAAGGGGTCAAAGATTGGATTACCCGCCTTCAATCTACGACCGCAGATCAGGTAGAATGGACATTGGGTTGGCTTCCCGTTGATGAGATTGTTTATATGCCCGCCACTGGTCCTTACTTCCTGCTAATGGGTCTCCAAAGCATCCAACCCTATGCTTTGTACCGGGTTTTGAGACAGCTCGGAAGATGCCAGACAGTTCCTAGAGATGAAGATCTTAGCACTTATGTGGTCGAAATCCGCTCTGATGCCCAATTTCCCGAAGAAGTGGTTCGTAAAATTTGGAGCGAATGCCAGTATTTGGGGGCAAACACCCGAGTACGTGATTTGTCTAAAGGTGAGGTCTTACCTAGTTATGTTGCCTGGTATGGAAAGAGAGTCGCGACGAGTGGTGAACCCGAACGACCAACTAAAAGACCTCATATCCAAGAATTTGTTGATGCATTGCACGAGCAGTGGGCTTGGTTAGCTAAAGAAAAGGAATACCGAACTAATATAAACAAGCTAGAAGGACAAATTGAAAAAATCAAATTTGATAGTAGTTTGCAGGCAGCTGAAGATGCAGGGGAAAATAAGAGGTTGGCCAAGGAAAATGAAGCCCTTCGAGCCCAAATCCAGAGAATGAAAATAGCCGCCGAGACACCAGCAAGAAGTGAGAGAGATGAGAAAATTATAACCAACCTGAGGCGGAAAGTGCATGATTACGGTTTTGACTTGACAAAGGCCGAAAGAGACTTGTTAAATGCTCAAGCAAAGTTGGCCAAAGGTGCGGAGGAACAAGCTAGATTAGTCCACCAGTTGAAGCAGAAANATTTCCAAGGGAAGATGGGCATATTGATTTACGGGTAGCCGGGGTTGTCCACATTCTGACTACTCAGGCCAAGAGTACTCTCGCACCCATGATCGTATCAGATATATTCCGAGCCCTCACATTCTGTAAGGCCG